AATATTTGAAATGGATGGCGGTGAGATTCGAACTCAGGACCTTTTCATTCTTTGATACAGCGACCATAAATAAACTAATATATGTTTATATAACATATTTATAAATACACTCCTATACTTTTAATATTTATACGTGGTCCCCTGAGTTCCCGTAACCCCATTTTCGGGACATACCGTTTTTCCGTATCTGTTTCCCAGTTTACCCGTATCGCTGTTTCCGTATCCGTACTATATAGTAGATAAAAAAAAAGAATAATAGTAAAAAAAAAGAAGGAAGTGGAAAATAGAGAGATTCCGTTTATTAAATATTAATAAATGATACTTTATTGTAGGAAGGAAGGGTTAGAAATGTGACACTGACTGCACTCATATTGATATTCATATAAATCCGACCATCATCACAGTAAAAAAAAAATCCCGAAAATCAATTTTTGTTACAAGGGTTGATGCATTTTGACCCCTCCGTTGATTCCATTTCCGGAATCTTGAAAAAAACACCAGTCTCTCTCTCTCTCTCTCTCTCTCTCTCTCTCTCTCTCTCTCTTTCTCTCTCTAAAGTTGATTAGAGTTGGTGGTGAATGGTGATGCAGTGAGAAACCCTGATGATGGATTTGAAGGGGGTTTTCGGTTTAATTTTCTTATGGGCCGGTTTGCTGATTTTGTTAAGTAATACCGGCCGAGTTTACGCCGGTGACATAGTTCACGATGACAATTTGGCTCCCAAGAAACCCGGTTGTGAGAATGATTTTGTCCTGGTAAATTTATTTTATTATTTTTCTTTCTGATGCTGGGCTTTTCTTTTACTTGATGGGTTTATTTCGTAAATATACAATGTTCTTGAGCTAGATCTCTCTCTTTCTCTCTGTATATATGTGTGTGTGTGTGTGTGTGTGTGTGTGTGTGTGGTGGGTTGGCTTGATGTATGCAGATTGGGTTTAGTTATAGCTGTACTTGTGCTAAATTTCATGATATATTGTTTATTTTAGTGGTAATCATGTATTAGATTTGTATCGTCGTTTCGAGTTTCTTGAACTAGGGATTTCTAGAATTTCTTAGTTTGCCAATCGATAATTTTTGGAATTACATGCATTAGATTTGTATCATCGTTTCGTGTTTCTTGAACTAGGGATTTTCTAGAATTTCTTAGTTTACCAATCGATAATTTTCGTATTAATTTATCATCTTCATCAATAATGTACTTCACTGTGTGTGTGTGTGTGTGTGTGTGTGTGTGTGTTGTAGAACTCTGTAATGCAGGCTTGCATTTAGCCATAAATTTTGTATTAGGCTAAATGTACGCGTAAAATAAATCGCCCGTTTCTCAAAGGTTGAAGCTTTATATATTCAATTTCTTGTTCTCTTCATTTGTTCGAAATGACCGTCTTTTCACAAGTTCTAAAACATTTTTTTTTTAGTTTATTCTTTCAGTCTTGAGCTCGGTGTAGCTGACTTATAGTGAAATGAAATCCCGTCTTTGAATATGCTTATTACGGATTAAAGCTTCTTTTGGCTGTTTTTTTGTTGCAATTTTCGTTTATCGTAAATTTTAATTTCTCGATCAGGTAAAAGTTCAAACTTGGGTAGACGGAATAGAAGATGAGGAATTTGTGGGTGTCGGTGCTCGATTCGGAACTACCATAGTATCCAAGGAGAAAAACGCTAACCAAACACACCTTTTCCTTTCAGACCCTAGAGACTGTTGTGGTCCTGCAAACAAGAAGGTTCGTTCTCGTTGCTAATTTTTCTATTTTTCACGAGTCGGGATTAATTTATTGTGTGGATTCATTTTTTTTATAATTTATTTTAGTTTGATGGAGATATTTTAATGGTGGACCGAGGCAACTGCAAATTCACCACAAAGGCGAACTTTGCCCAAGCTGCGGGTGCTTCAGCTGTGCTCATCATAAACAACGAGAAAGGTAACGATTGGTTCGAATACGATTGAATTTAGTTCGTCGATTTCGTTTCTCAGTCGTCAGTTTCGTCTAGTCAATTTAATTTAAATTCTGGAATTTAAAATCGCTAACGAGACTCGGCAAAAAGACAAAAATAACTCAGAAAATTAAATTAATGCCGTTGGTTCGTCTAACTCTTTTCAGAACTATATAAAATGGTGTGTGAGCCCGATGAAACCGATCTCGATATACACATTCCAGCTGTCATGCTCCCTCAAGATGCCGGTGCAACACTCGAAAAAATGTTGTCAAATGGTTCATCAGAATAGTTTATACGACATGAATATTTTTTAATTAAAATAAGTGCGAAATGACTAATCTACCCTTTTTTTATATAGTCTCTGTGCAGCTTTACTCTCCGAGGAGACCAGTGGTCGATATAGCCGAAGTATTTCTTTGGTTAATGGCAGTTGGAACTATCTTGTGTGCCTCGTATTGGTCCGCATGGAGTGCCAGAGAAGCCGCCATCGAGCAAGATAAGTTTTTGAAGGTTAGAAAAAGTCTTTTTTTTTTTTAATATATATATATCATTTACTTTGGAAAATACGATTTATATGACACGACTTTCTGTATGTATAATTTACTATTTTTCGTATTTTAGGACGCGCCAGATGAACTACCGAACATTAAAGGCAACAGTGGAAGCAGTGTGGTGGATATTAACACAACATCTGCAATCTTGTTTGTCGTCGTTGCTTCGTGTTTCTTGATTCTGATTTACAAACTGATGTCTTATTGGTTCATTGAGCTCTTGGTGGTTCTCTTTTGCATCGGCGGTGTAGAGGTACAACTAACTCTGTGTGTGTGTGTGTGTGTGTGTGTGTGTGTGTCTATATATATAAACTGAACTCGAAAAACCCCAAAAACTCGAAAAACCCCAAAAACCAAAAACCAAAAGCCGAAAACCGAAAACCGAAACCCAAAAACCGAAAAAGAAAAACCGAAACCGAGCCGTAAACCGAAAACCGAAAACCTGAAAACCGGAAAACCCGAAAGTATATATGCATATATATAACGGCAGTTACGGAATTTCATTCAGTTTATTTGATATGTCTGTATCAAAGATCTTACTTAATTTCTCGTTTTTCTACTTTTCAGGGCTTGCAGACTTGCTTAGTTGCCTTTCTATCAAGGTATGGTATTTTATTTGATTTGATTACAGACCAAGGCCTCGTTTGGTTAACACAATTAAGTCTATATTGACTAAATAGTAGTGTTTAGTAACATTTTTGGTTCACAAGATTCAACTAATCAGGTCCCGCAATTAGATGCTACTATTCATTAAAATTAGTAGCTACCTTAGCCCTTGTGATTAGTTTTTCATATGTAGCTACTAAAAGTGAAAATGACGATTTTGTCCCTAAAAAATAGGATATGATTATTGTTAAATTAGGGATATTATTGGAAAATCACATTTAATTTCAAATTTTAACACTTCTAATACTAAATCTATTACAATGAACCGAATATCTTACTAACTAACTAATTACTTAATCAGTAGGAAATTAATTCAATCCAATCCAATCTAATGAAAATTAATCCAACATATGCAACCGAACGAGACCTAAATATATATTCCAGCTGATGTAGTTTTACAATCTCTAAAAGAAAGAAAAGAAGAAAAAACGGAACTCTAAAACCAAGTACTTGTCTAAAATTTAAATTTTCAGGTGGTTCAAGCAAGCTGGAGAATCGTTTATTAAAGTGCCCGTTTTCGGTGCCGTTTCGTACCTTACTTTGGCCGTTGCCCCTTTCTGCATAGCTTTTGCTGTGGTTTGGGCTGTGTACAGAGATGTCTCGTTTGCATGGATTGGCCAAGATATACTTGTGAGTTTATTTTGCTTTTTGGCCCTCCTTTTTACTTTTTTCTTCCATAACAGTCCCTAGAGTTTTGTTTTTTCAAAATGATTCGTTATGACAATCTTTATTATTCAATCAGGGAATTGCGCTGATAATTACGGTTCTTCAGATTGTGCGAATTCCTAATCTCAAGGTAATAACTCGAGACTTATCAAATATGATTCTTTCTAATTTATCTCTCGTGTCATATATTTAAGGGTAAATTACGGCCACCCCCCTGAGGTAAGGTCAAATTACAAAAAAACCCTTCATATTTGGGTAATTACATCCACCCCCCTCAACTATGTATTTTCTTACAAAACCCCCCTTCATATAGTAGGTAAATTTGATACCGTAAGGGTGGAAGTGTAAGACAATACATAGTTTAGGGGGTGGTTGTAATTACCCAAATAGGAGGGGGGTTTTTGTAATTTGGCCTTATCTTAGGGGGTTGGCCCTAATTTGCCCTATATTTAATTGATAGTTTTATTTAACATGGCTTTGCTTTTCGGTTTTCAGGTGGGTACGGTCCTATTAAGCTGTGCTTTCATCTACGACATATTTTGGGTGTTCGTTTCTAAGAAACTGTTCAAAGAAAGTGTGATGATTGTGGTATGTAGCATTATTATCCATTTAAAATTATTTTAATTTAAAGTAATAAAAGAGATTAATAGTGGGGGGTAAATATGTCTTTTTGTAGGTAGCTCGTGGAGATAGAAGTGGTGAGGATGGTATACCGATGCTTCTGAAGATTCCACGGTTATTCGATCCGTGGGGTGGTTACAGTATCATTGGCTTTGGAGATATTCTCTTGCCTGGACTGCTTGTAGCATTTTCTCTTCGGTACGTAGCCTTTTTATTTATTTATTTATATTTATTTTCGAATCAACTTTCCGTATTGAATGTGAATAGGGACGGAAATTGGAATAGAATTTCCGAATTTCGCCGATTCCAATCCAATTATTTCAGATTTCTGAAAGTTCTGATATTTTTTTTTGCAACAGAACATAATTGGATTACATATTAGATTCCGAATCCCGGTCGGATTTTAAATTTTCGAAAATATTTCCAAAAACGTCAAAAAGAAAAAAAATTCCCCAAAAATACCCTTTAAAAAGTAATATAATATTATTTATGTGTCTTTTATATCATGGGCGACTAAAGAAATAGCAATTCCGATCCAAAAATTCCCGATTTCGGAACAACTCCTTTCATTCCAATTTCTGAAATTCCGATTTCTGATTTTCCAAATATTTTTTATGGAATTGGAATCAATTTTTCAAGTCCGAAAAAAAAAATGATTTTTTTTCAGAAAATACCAACTCCGATTCGATCGGTCCGATTTCCAAGTTTTTTTTGGCAAGAATAAACCCATTTATTTTTATAAATTAAATCTCTACTCTGTCTATTTCAGGTACGATTGGCTAGCAAACAAGAGCCTACGAGCTGGATACTTTTTGTGGGCAATGTTCGCTTATGGATTAGGTAACAACAATTTATACCGTTAAAAAATTCTAAAGCTGCTATCAGATGATAAATCATTCGAGATATATATTATGGCAGGTCTTCTTATTACGTACGTAGCACTGAACTTGATGGATGGTCATGGCCAACCCGCTTTGCTGTACATTGTCCCTTTTACCCTCGGTAATTTTTTTTCCTTACCATTAGAAGTGAAACTATGATTTTTTTTTTTTTTTTTTTTGTGTGTTTTGAAAAAAAAAGGTGCTGAAATATTACTACGATGCAGGGACGTTTTTGGCACTCGGGAGAAAGAGAGGTGATCTGAAGATTCTGTGGACAAGAGGTGAGCCGGATAGGGTTTGCCCACACGTTCGTCTTGAATCCACTCAAGAATCTCTCTGAAGAAGGAGACCTCCGTAACTTATTCCCCGTGTAATTAGTATTAAGTTAATCGTAATTAATGTTGGCATAAAACAAAGTTGAAGTGTTTGTTATATTAGTTGTTACTGTTGTCGTGGCTCTCAGTTGTGAGGTGGAATTCCAGAGTAGCGGAGGGGGTGTGTGCCCCCTTCGTAGATCGGCCTCGGGCAAATGCTGCAACTTATAAATATATTTATGCCTATTATAATAGGAATAATTATGATAAAATGAGAGGAGGAAATAATTAATTAACTATCAAAATTCATAGCTGTTTTATAAAAAAAACTTTAATAACCTGTAAAAAGGTCTTCACATGTATGATACATCCACCAATTTATGAGTTTCCCATATGCGGGAAAGAATCAGGTTGTCAATACATACATGTAATATAATTATATGTACGCATCCTCGATATCTTCCTGCTGTTGCTCCGGGTGTAATTGAGTTGTTCAATCCTAAGGTTATACAACTTCAGCTGACCGTGCTCGCCGAATTTCCTTCCAGCCAAACCAAAATTTAGTTTGCTCCCTTTCTGGTTGCAGAATATACATTTATAGTATAGAGGAAAAGTATTTCTTTTTTTCTTCTCTCATCAAGCTTGTAAAGCCACAAATCCCCCTTTTTTCGGATTCCGTTTGGGTTTGAGTTTGAGTTCGATTCAGTTTCGATTTTGGCTAAGGACAAGTCAAAAGACTAACTAACTCAAAGCTCAAGTCCGAGGCAATGTCTAAAAGGCTTCCATAATTCTCTCTACACGTAATACATATTATAAGATGTTCATGGAATAGTGTATGATTTTTTTTGTAAAAATTTAGAATAGTTCTAGAATGTTCCTTTGTAAATAGCTACATAGATAATTAATAGACTTTAGGATCACAGTGATATTGACAGTCCATTAGGAATTTGTTCTTATATAAATATGGCATAGTTCATTGGTAAATCGTGACCACCAAGTATGTAGGGTAAGAATATGTTTGGTCGATATTATAAAATAATAATTATTAATATTACAATGGTGAGTTATAATTTAATTTTAGCACCATATTTGACCAATCCTTTCAACCTAGTATAATGAAGCCCATATCCATATCCGTAGGTCACGCAGCTCCTTCGCCTTCATCTCTTTTGCGGCCCATATCGTAGGTCACGCACCTTCGTCACCTCCAAATCGTAATCGCTCAACAGCTTCTCAACATCTTTGTCAATGAAGCAGGATTTGCCCACACAGTTGAAGTACGCACACAGTCAGAACGCAACCTTCGACTACGATCGAGCGCCATTCTGTGTTCAATACTATAAAATAATAAATATAAATATTAGAATGATTGAGTTATAATTTAATTTTAGCACCACATGTTAGCCTGTTATAAAATTTTGTTGTTTTTCAATATTGATATAAAATTTCCATTCATTTATTAAATTTTATTTTTTCAAAACAACCATGAAAAAAAAAAAAAAATCAGCCTTGCACATAACTACTTTAAATGACAACGAAACCATATCACATCTTTCAAATAGGTCTCAAATGAACTATCGAACCGGAAATTTGACACTAATAAGCCTGATTATGTGAAAAATGTCATCACATGCATTTCCTAATTTCCCAATCAGACTCCAAATATATAGACACAATTATAAGAGAGGTCTCTGAGTTTCAAGACAGAAACATTCTTGCTGAATAGGCCGTGAAATCAACCGGTTGAATGCATTGTCACACGTCCAGCAGGGCGCCAGGTCGTATCAGCCGGATATTTATAGAGCCTCGAGTTCTGGATGGAGATACCGCCTGCGTATCTGTACATATACATTTCAGACCACAAGTCATTTGGAAGAGGACCGATCGGTCGGTTTCATTAGCTTATACATTTCAGACCACAAGTCATTTGGAAGAGGACCGATCGGCCGGTTTCATTAGCACCATTCGTGTTAACAGCTGCGGTCTCGTAAATGTTTTAAGTCTTGAGTTCCGCGAGTGGGAAGAAAAGTTGTCAAAATCAGAACACTAAATACCAGTGTAATTAGTATAAAGTTAATCGTAATTAACGTTTGCATGAAACTAAATAGAGGAGGGGTGTGCGCCCCCCCACCCCCCACCCAACCCTCCTCTATTATAGATCAGTCTCAGGCAAATAATGCAACTTATAGATATAAGAGAAAATTACGACCAACCCCTGAGGTAAGGTCAAATTACGAAAACACATTTTCTGTTTGTATAATTACAAGCACAACCTCAACTATGTATTATTTTACAAAAAAAATCCTCCAGTTGATAAATTTAGGGGCGTTCATTCGGTAAAATTGTACAGAAATTGCAGTATGCCAAAATTTTAAAATTAAAATTTTAAAATTGTACAGAAATGTTTAGCGAATTGTACAGAAATGTTTAGCGTTTGGTTTCGATAAGTGACCGTTTTACCAAATTTTAATTAAAAATATTAATTTTTTTAATTAATTTTAGTTTAAATATTAATATTACATATATAAATATATGTATATAAAATAAAATAAAATTGAATACCATATTGATTTAACGGTTCGGTAATCGACATGTATGAATTATTGTTCGATTCCATTGGATCAGTTTACCGACCGGATGAACATTTCTAGGTAAATTTGACATTGTATAGTTGATGTGTGGTTGTAGTTATGCAAACAAGATGGTTTTTTCTCTCATAATTATACCTTAATAATAGTGATAAAAATGTCCAACTGCAAACCTAAAAGTCTCTGTTGATATAATATATTCAAAGGATGTGCGAAACGCAGATGCGAAGTGAAGTGGGATTAAGCCTGGACTGCGGAAGTGGGATTAAGCCTGGATTATCTAGACAACAACAAAATGAACAGAATCTCGCAGTTTAGGTCGAAACCAGTGTCGCAAGCGAGCTCTCGCCCTACGCCGGCTTCTGGCATTTTGGTCGGGGCTAGTTTCCATGACAAGCTCTTCAAGTGCCGTAGTATCTTTTCCATTTCCAACAATGTACGACACGAATTCCATTTCACCCTTGCACCCTATCAGCCCCGAGAGTTTCACCCTTTTCAAATCACGACTCCATCTCCTCTTGATCGGGTTCTCAATATATTTCTCATCACTCCTTTGACACAAGAATCCAGTCGACCATATAAACTGCAAAATTAGATATCATCTATATAAATGATATTCTACCCGATCGAGTTAATTATTTCGATAGTACGCATGTATTAATGAAAAAAGACGCATGTACATACGTCGTACCTTAATCTCAAGTTTCTGTAAGCAAGGACAAGCCTCGATGAAATGAATGAGTTTATGAAGTCCGTAAAAACTATACATGTTCAACTTATATTCACACTCCATATGTTGAAGCTTTACCAGTTTAGGGAACCGTAACATGCCGTCCATATAATCGCGCCCCTGAAAAAAAAAACGTATATAATCAAAACACAATTTATTTATTGTAAAAAAACTGATATGTACGTACGTATGTATATATCCCGACGAGCGAGAGCTTAAGCTTGATCAATTGGTCACTAATAATTCCCCGTGAAAGGATCCGAAACCCGATTTTCTTACAAATGCCCAACTCACAAAGACTTGGTACATTTCTCAGAACAAGCTTAAATTCGGATAGCATCTCATAACACTCGAAAGATTCGATGTTCGGCATGTCTATAATCTTGATGAATTTGATCCTAGAACACCGACGTATGGCCAATTGCTTCAACTTTGGCGCTAAATCGACACCGATTATACGTAAAGAACCTAAGGCGCTGCTATTTTCAACCGAGAAACGCTCGAGAGCGACATAATTTTCGAGTATTAGCATAAAAACCCGTTTATCCAAATCGACGGCCTTTAGAGATAGGTCTTTCAGGAATTCGTTTCTGCGTGGAATTATATACGGAAAGCGAATCCATGCATCGATGCAAATCACGTGCATGTGGATTATTGGTGCTTGTCTGGCTAATGCAAAGTCGATCCAGCTCCGCATTAGCCACCTCTCGACTGGCCACGTGTCTTCCACCGTTGTTAGGAACAGCCCGTAAAAAGGTAAACTAAGTCGAAATTCTTGTAAGAATTCACCTCCATTGTGTGAACCCAAGGTGCGACTGATTACGGTAGCGTACTTTTTCAAGAATTTCCTTTTCGATACTACATGGCAATACGTTTCGGAGGTGAGAGAAAAATCGAGGCGGGTGGTGTAGTTGTGGAGGTGGCGCCATCGTTTGGATAGGATGCTGGTTGAGACGGCTTCGGTCACCGTCAGCCGTGAGATTATGGATATCAGAATATCGTCCGGCAACTGACTTATCTTGTCGTGGTCATAATTAACTGAAGTACTCATGAATGATTTGGGAAGTTGAGGAGCTGACGACTGTCGGGCGGGCTCGCCGGCGGCGGAGATAGGCAGTTTGGACTTGCCTTTCGACGCCGCAAGGGCCTGCCAGGAAAGGCGAGGGAAGCTGCCGGAGAGAGGAATACAGCCTCCTCCTTGAGTATTGGATTCCATGGCACCACTGGATTATTTTTGTGGAATTTTGTTCACAAATGTTTCTTATATACTTAGGAGCGGACTAGGGTTGTTAATAATTAGGGTTTATTTGAGATCCATTTAACTCTAATTAGGGTTTGGACAAATTATTAAAAAAAAAAACCCCACTTATAATCCCATCTAGGGGTGCAAGTTGGAACGGAAATTCCAATTTCCGCCGGTTCGGATCCGAAAAGTTCCGATTTTGGAACAACTTTTTTCATTCCGACTTCCGAAATTCCGATTTCCGAATTTTTCCGATTTTTTTGGATCGGAATTGGAATTATATAAAATAAATTTGGATTTCCGATTTCCGATCCGATTTGATTTCCGAAATTAATTCCGAAAATTTCCAATTTTTTTTCTAAATATACACCTATAAATAATAAATATTATATAATATTTATTTTTCCAGAAAAATATACCTATAATTTTTTTTAGGATTTTGACATAATGAATTGTTGTTAGAAGTTTTATTAGATATTATGTTGTGTTTATTTTTATTTATTTTTTGAACTGAAATTTAGTAGTTATTAGTTTTACTTTTATCGGCGTGGATGTTCTTATTTTTGGAAAATTATGAACATTTTAGAAAAATTTCGCTAAGTTTTGAAATTTTTAACCTTATGTGATTTCCGATTTTTTCCGAAATCCCGAAATTTCCGGGCCTTTTGGAATTGGAATGAATTTTTAGATTCCGAAAATTTTGGAATTGGAATTGGAATTGATTTTGTACTTCCGAAACTTTTTGAAAATTTTCCGAAAAGGCTAATTCCAATCTGATCCATCCGACTTTCACCCCTAAACCCATCCATGAAAAGGACAGATAGATGAGATGCCGAAATAATAGAATTGGATTTTTTTTATAGTTCTTTTATTTATTTTTTAACATTTTCGATAATCTATTTTTTTATTTCTTTTGAAAACTTTTCCTTGTAATTTTGTTTTTCCTTTGAAAACTATTAGAACTCGAAAATTTTCGAAGTAATTTCTTAATTTTTTGGTGTTTATTTTATTAACCTATTAATGAGAGGAGAATATAATCAATTAACTATCAAAATTTATAGTTGTTTTATAAATAAACTTTGATAATAATTAAGTTGACCATATGCCTATTCTTCCAGTTGTAATCCCCAAACCTGGAAAAAGGTCTTCGCATGTACGAAACATCCACCGATTTACGAGTTCCCCATATACATACATGTAATATAATTATACATATGTATCCTCGATATCTTCCTGCTTGTTGCTCTTGTGTACATACAATTGAAATCGCGATTTCTCTCTTATTGTTCGCTTATTTTCCTAATGAGCTCTATGGTGAAGTTGTTCTTACTGTTCCCGATTTCTTGTTTCAAATTGGAAACTCTTCGGCATCTCATCTATCTCCTTTTCATGGATGCGATTAAAATGCAATTGGAGAGAAGTATCCGTCTAGCGGCGGATCAGGAAGCTAAGTGGGTATTCTTCTCCCCGTGATTCATTCCGCAGCTAGGGTTACATATAGGGGTTATTAATGTGATTGGTAGGGTGATGACGCCGAATGAGGATCTCGATCGACACACACTCTCAAGCCGAACCTCCGATCCATAGTCTCTTTCAACTAGTGAAGGGTTGCGATTTCAAATCTATTGGTCCCGACAAATTTATGGTTTAAAAGAAAAAAAAAAGTTAGATGCCAGCTAATATTGAAGTCAGCTAATGCAAGTCACTAATCATAGCTCCAATGACCTGCTGGGAGAGTAAAAACAACGAAAAAAGAAAAAAAAAATGGAATGTCAACAAATGTTGAAGTTAACTAATGCTAGTCAGCTAACCACAGCTACGACGAATCGAGTCGGAACATAAAATAAAAAAAAAAAAAGATAAAAGAATAAAAAAATGGAATGTCAAGTAATGTTGAGTGACTGAGTCAGCTAACCGGAACTTCGACCACCCATATCACCACAGGAAAAAAAAATTATAAGTTTTTTTTATTTTTTTTAATAATAAATAAAACTAAAAAAGATAAAACAAACCCTAATTAAAGTTAAAGGGTATAAAGTAATTATCTGGACTTTAAAATCAAATAAAACTTAAAATAAAGGGTAAATTACACACACCCCCCTGAGGTAAGCTTAAATAACTGTAAGGTCCCTGTGGTATCGATAATTACACTTAGCCCCCTGAAACGTAGTCAGAAACTCTAATGGGGTAATGAATTGGATACGTTATTCCGATAGGGTTCTAACGGTACTATTGGTTTCAGAAAGTGGTGAAGACAACAAAGAGCTATGGGGTGACATGGCTCCCCGAACATTCCCGAACATTTTTTAAATCACCCATAGCTTTTTGTGTCTCCACCACTTTCTGAAA